CTCTTCCTCCTCCTCCTCATCATCATCCTCCTCTCCCCCCTCATCCTCCTCCTCCCCCTCCCCCTTCCCTTTACCAGGGGGAAAGGAAAGGGAATGAACCTCCCCCCCCCCTCCTTCGTCATGACCCTCCCCTCCTTCTTCATTCATCCCTCCTTCGTCCTGAGGGAAGTGGAAGGGGATGAAAACCCTCCTCTTCCTCGTCCTCGTCGTCGTCCTCGTCGTCGTCCTCGTCCTCCTCCTCCTCCGCATCCTACGTGAAGCCGTGCTCCTGGCGAAGTGCAAGGCAATTCGGTTACATAAAAAGACAGAGAGAGAGAGAGGAATATACAGTGAGGTAGCCATATATGTAGAGAGAGGACTTGAGGGAGAGAGAGAAAGAGAGAGAGAGAGAGACAGAGAGAAGGAGAGAGAGGGAAACGAGATAGAGAGAGAGGAGGCAAGAGAAGCCAAAGGGGAGAGAGAAAGAGAGAGAGAGAGGGGGAATAAGAGAGAGATATACAGAGAAAGAGAGATGGAGAGAGGTTTAGCGGACGGAGGCAGTGCAAAACAGCAGCGCACGACAGTGAACAACGGACGGGAGGGAGGGAGGGAATGAGGATGGAGGCCCAGACGTCCGGCTGCTCCTCCCCTCCATCCTCACTCCCTCCCTCCCCAAAGATCCGACGATTCAGAAAACTTTGAGCCGCGGGATTGTGGCAATTTTCGGACTCCGGGGGCCCTCACCAGGCCTCGGGAGCGTCGAAAAACGACTCAGGACGAAAAACCGGCCAAAGGGAAATTGTGCGTACCTCCAGGGCCCACGCATCAAAAAAAATGAAGCAGCCGGATGTTTGGGGTCAACCCATATAGTAAGGACACACGATGGGGATGCAAGGGCCTTGGAAGGCCATGTCTACACTCTGCGAGCGGGGCGCGGCCAGCGAAAGCAGACGAGGATGGGTCGACGGGGAAGGATGCAAGGACGAACTAGGCCAGTCGCTCATCCTTACTTTGCGGGTTGACTGTACTTGCCCATGTGCTGCTCCGTCTGGTTGCTGAGCCAGGCAATCATTCACGGTGAGCGTCGATGCCTCTTCCTCCAAAAAACAAGTACTGGATTCGATTCTTGAAGCTCACCATCGAGATCCACCACAATGCCGTGTGCACGCTGAGGGGCCGAAAAAATGCCAAGGGATGTCTGGCAGGGTGTGTGTATTCGAATACAGGACTAGCGTCTATTCGCATGCCCGGGCCCCCTCCCGAGGACACGATCCCTCGTGAAAAAACAGCGCCGAATCTACGATCCATGTAAAAAACGATGCTGAGCTTCCAAGACGGCCCATGCAGGCAACCAAGGACAAAAAGATAGCCCAAGATGCCTCGAAGACGGCTCAGAATGGCCCCAAGGCGGCCCGATATGGCCTCAAGACGGCACAGTAGGCCTCCAAGAGGGCCTAAAAGGGCTAAGAGGGCTACAAGAAGCCTCCATAATGGCCCCAAGACGGCTCAAGAGGCCCCCAAGAGGGCCCCAAACTGGCCCGAGTGGCATCCAAGACGGCCCCAAGATTGCCCGACGACCTTGGAAGGCCTTTCGACGGTTCAAGACGGCCCCACGACGGCCCCCAGACCCCCACCATGCGGTGAAGAAGGCCCGAAGACGGCCCAAGAAACCCAAGACGGCGTAAGAGGGCCCCGCGATTGCTCAAGAGGGTCCCTAGGGACCACCATGACTGCCTCACAGGAGGCCAAGACAGCCCCAAGACGGCACAAACGAGATCAATGAGAGCTCCTCAAATAGTAAACACAAAAGGTGTCACTTGTGACGGCCTTCCTCATCCCTCTCATCCTGCTCTTCCTGTTACTCGTCCTCCTCCTCCTCCTCCTCCAACTCGTCGTTATCGTTGTCACCGCCCTTCATCATGAGCATCAGCCTCACCGCCATGATCACATCAATGTTATCGGCATCATCGTCATCATATCATCATCATCCTCATCATGATCGCCCTCACCCTCAGATTCCTCCCCCTCCTCCTCCTCCTCCTCCTCCTCCTCATCATCATCATCATCATCATAATCATCGTCATCGTCATCGTCATCGTCATCATCATCATCATCATCAACATCCTCATCATAAACAGCATCATCATCATCAGCATCATCAGTATCATCGTCAACAGCACCAGCACCATACTCATCATACGCATAGTCATCATCATCATCAACCTCGGCACCAGTATCATCATCAACATCAGCATCAGCATCATCATCAGCATCAGCATCACTATCATCATCATCATCGTTCGCATGATCATCTCCATGACCCTGATCATGCAGATGCTTATCATCACCATGATCATCAGCAGCAGCACCATCACCATCATCGTCGACATCGTCATCAGTACCCGCACCATCAGCATCAGCATCATCATCCTAAGCATCACCCTCCTCCTCAAATCACCATCATCCGCATCATGGGCATCGGCATTAACAGCATCATCGTCATAAGCATCATCACTATTGCCATCATGGCATCACCATCCTCAAACAATCGCCACCCAGAATGCTGGGATGGCACGGTGGCGGGACTTGCCGCGGGCAGCTGGATACTTACTTTCGCAATGTGATGCTGCTCCTCATTCACCAAACTCTTGCCTCCGCCCTCCTGCATTCTGCCTCCTCAATCCTCCCTCCCTCATCATCCCCCCTTCTGATCCTCAACACCCTCCTGCTGCTGCTGCTGCTTATCCCAAACCTCCCCACGTCGTGTTCCTCCCTCCTCCCACCCCCTCCTCCTCCTCCTCCTCCTCCTCCTCCATCCTCCTCCTGCAAATCCTCCTCATCGTCAGCACTACCACCACCATCACCATCATCGTCATCAACAACAATATCAGCATCATCAACACCATCAGTACAATCGTCGTCATCATCCTCAGTATCACCATAACAATTACCTTCCCCACCCCCATCCCCATCCCCATCACCACAACCACCATCATCATCATCATCATCATCATCATCACCATCATCACCGTCATCAGTATCATCAACATCATCACCATCATCATCATCAGCATCATCATCGTCAACAGCAATATCATCAAAACCACAATTATCATCACCACATCGCCATCGTCACCATCAGCATCACCAACATCACCACCGCCAGAACCATCATCATCACCATCACCATTACCAGCACATCAATATCATTACTAGCAGCATCATCATCATCACCATCATCATCACCAACATCATCACCATCACCATCATTACCATCATCATCATCCTCATCATCATCATCATCGTCATCAACATCATCGTCGTCATCATCAATATCATCACCATATCACCATCATCACCACCACGATCATCATCATCATCATCATCATCATCATCATCATCATCATCGTCATCGTCATCGTCATCATCATCATCATCATCAGCACCACAATCATCATCATCATCATCATCATCAGCATCAGATCACCATCATCATCAGCACCACAATCATCATCATCATCATCACCATCATCATCATCACCAGCAGCATCCTCATCATCATCATCATCCTCATCATCCTCATCATCATCATCCCCATCATCATCATCATCATCATCATCATCATCATCATCATCATCATCGCCATCGTCATCATCATCATCATCATCATCACCACCACCACCACAATCATCATCATCAGCATCATCATCATCCTCATCAACCGTTCTAGATGAGACCGTTCGCCGCTGGGCTCAAAGCCGTGCCCTGCGGGTCGCAGGGCGCTCGCCGCTCGAGCCGATGCCCAAGGATGCGGGGCTCCGCGCCGCTGTCGAGGCGGCGCGTGGAGCCCACATGGCTGCTTGTGCCGCTGCCAGCCTCGCAGCTGGGCGGTCCCGCTCAGGGACCCGCCTGCTGCGAGCCGCGGGCGGCCTGCGTCGCGCGGCAGGGGCCGGCGTGGCCGGCCCTGGAGCGGAGCAGGCCTCGCAACTGGCGGCTGTGGGCAGTCGCTCGGCAGCGGCACCGCGCCTGCGTCGCCGCGGCCGGGGCCCGCGTGAAGCCAAAGGGTCCTGCCTGTGGGAATGGCGGTGCCTCTTGCTCTGCCAGCGGCGGCCGCGCACTCTGCCGAGGGCACCGCGGTCCAAGCCACGGCGGCGTCGGGCGCGGGGCGGCCCATGCGCCATGGAGGGGGTGGAGGAGCACGGAGCTGACACCGACGCGATCGCGAAGAATGCTTCGCCGTTGCCGTCGCACGGCTGGGCCGACGACGTACCTCCCTGCGTGGCCGCGCCTGCTGGTCGGGGTGCTTGGCTGGCCGCTGGTGTCGGCGTGCGTGCGTTCGCCGGCGCCCGTGCGGGATGAGGAGGAGGAGGAGGAGGAGGATGACGAGGAGGAAGAGGAGGAGGAGGAGGAGGAGGAGGAGGAGGAGACAGACAGGATGAGGAGGAGGAGGAGGAGGAGGAGGAGGAGGACCAGGAGGAGGGGCACCAGCGTAATGCGGACGATCGGCGCAGAGCTCTTCCAGGCGCACTTCCACGGGCGCGAAGCAGAGCCGCCCTCCTGGGCCGCGCGACCGGTGGCTGCCAGTGCGCCACCGGGCCGCGCGGCGGGCAGCGGAGGCCCGAGCAGGGGCAAGGGCACGGGGAAGGGTGTCGAGGCGGCCGCGGACGCGAAGGGGCGTAAGCGGCGCGCGGGCGCGCGGTAAGCCCTCCCTCTCTCCCTCCCCCAGATGTTGTCCGAAAGGTGGCAGCCGAGAACCATCATCGTCATCATCACCATCAATATCACCACCAACATCATCATCGTCACAAGCATCATCATCATCATCATCATCATCATCATCATCACCACCACCATCGCAACCGTCTTCATCACCACCATAACCACCGTCATCACCACATAAACCATCACCGGCAACATCATCATTAACAGCACCACCATTATCACCATCATCACCAGGTTCACGATCACGATCACGATCATCATCGTGACCTCGTCCTCCTCCTCCTCCCCCGCGGCGGGGCCTCTCTGGCATGCAGCTGCCCGCCCGCCCGCGGCTGGGCGGGCACTGGCCCGGCGCCCATCCCGCGGCCGGGCGGGGGCCCGCCCGAAGGGCGCAGGGTGCGGACTCCCGCGGCCGGGCCTGCGCTGGCCTGGATTGCGGATCCCCCAGGACTCCCCGCAGTGCGCGCGCGGCCTCGTTTGCCCGCGCGCGCGCTTCAGAACCAGGTCGGACCCAAGCTGAAGCATGCTGCCGGCGGGTCAGTGGCAGCCCTCCTCCCTGCGTCGCTGCTCCCACCATCCACCGCTCCCTCCCTCCACCCATCTGCACAGCATTCCACCCGTCACCCCTCCATCCCAGGCGCTCCTGCCGCCGACCTTCCACCCCTGCCGGGCGGGGCTGGAGGAAAGGGGACGGAGGGTGGGGCGAAGGCTGCTTCATAATTTGCTGTGTGAACGAAGCAGCTCCGAGACGATATGCTTTTGCATGAAGGCCCGATGATGAACATTGACAGCTCCCCAACTGACGGGAAGGGGACTCCGCCGCGGTAGAACAGGCGTAGGAGGGAAAGGAGGACGGGGAGGAGAGAGAAAGAGAGAGAGAGAAGGAGATGACCGATAAGCGAAATGCCGAATGCCTCCGACTAGCAGCTGGCACGCAATACCGAGGCGACTGCACGCTGTCCTGCTCGTGGGCGCGAAGGCGTGCCTCACCTGCGACTCGCGGCGACACTGCCGCTGCACAGCGCTCGCCCAAGGCATCGCACCTCTCCGCCCCGGGACGAGGCGCCCGGATCAGCAGCGCACCTCGGGGCAGCGCGCGCCCGCAGACGCTCGTGGCACCGAAGGGGCCCGCAGCACGGGGGCTCCGCGGCGGGGCGTCGTGCCCCAGCCCGGCCACGGCGCGCGCCCCCGAGGCAGCCAGCCGCACGGCAGCCCGCGGCCACGAGGCAGGCCGCGGCGCAGCCGCGCGCGCCTCGCGGACCGCCTGCGGGCAGGCTGCGTCGGCAGCAGCCCGCGCCGCGGAGGCCGCGCGCGGCGCGGCGACGTGCGCCTTGCACTGGGCCCGGCGCGCCAGTGGGCTCGGGCCTCGCCTCGCCGGCCTGGGGGCGGCAGGACACGGCGCCGCCGGCGCTGCGGCCGCAGCCAGAGCCGCCTGCGGCACGCGCGGCGCACAGGCGCCCCATGGTACCGGCCCGCTGAGATCCTCCAGATGGAGAGTCGTGGAAGAGGTGGGCATTTCCCGAGTCCCACAACACCCTCCATGCCGCATGTCCAAACGAAGTCTTCCAAATCGCTGAACTGGTGGGAAGACTTAAGAATCACCCCCGCCGATGCCAAGTGTAATCCGCAAATGCTGAGCAAGAGAAATCACTGCCCCGCTCCTTGTACTCTCAACGGAAGTCAACATGGAAAATCGTGCCCTGCGAAACAAACAGGCAATGGCGGCCACGCTCACCCCGCCCACTTCAAACATCGAACCGAACACCTCCTGGGCTCCCCACCGCCAAATCAACCGGAACACCCAACAGAAATTTCCGCCCCGCCCAACAAGTTCCCAGCGATTATCTACGCTGGAGCGCAGCGTGACGACCACGCGGGCGGAAAATCCCAAAGAGCCACTCGGCGCCACCCAGCGCCCGACAACGCCGCTCAGCACCACTTGGGCGCCACTCAGCGCCACCCGGCATTACTTTTAGGTCGGGCATGTCCTCCTACAGGCGGACGTTGGAAGAAACATCAAAAAGAGTCAACAAATAATCAACGATAGCCCAAAGGAGCACGACAAATCGTCACCAGAGTGTCGTCTTGCTATTCTTGAGCATTCCTCCTGTGGAGGGGCCTGCCCGAATTAACACAACTTCTGGGAGGTACTCGGCGCCACTCAACGCCGCCCAGCGCAACGCTGCGCCACGCTGCGCCCCTCGGCGCCGCTCGACGCCACTCGGTGCCGCTCAGCGCCACGCGATGCCAACCAGCGCCACCCAGCGCCGCTCAACGCCTGCAGCGGCTGTAGAAGGAGGAGGAGGAGGAGGAGGAAGAGGAGGAGCAAGAAGAGAAGGAAGACGAGGAGGAAGCGGTGAAGGTTACTGTGGGGGCGGGGCAATGCAATGCGCGGAGCAGGGATAGGAGGAGGAAAGGGACACAACCGAAGGGGGGGCAAGAGTGCATGCCTGAACGGGCAAGGCTACGCCGAGAGAGAGAGAGAGAGAGAGAGCACGGGCGGATGAGAAACATACGTAACACAAACACCGTTTCCCGTGGGACCTGTGCTGACTACCTACCAGACCACCCCAACCCAACCCGAAGACCCGAAATTCGGGTTGGGGGGGTAAGGGTTCCACACGTGTTTTTTCGATGTTTCCCGACCCCCCCCCCACTGGAAATGGAGGGCAAATGGAGACCTTCGGGTTGGATTGGGGTGGTTTGGTGGGTGGTGAGCATGCGCGCTGAGGAGAGCGCTCCGCTGCCGTCGCGACTGCCGCGGCGGCCCGCGCGGGCCCGGGCGTGTGCAGCCGCGGCCGCCGCAAGCGCCCCGCCAGCAGCGGCACCACCGGGGCCAGCGGCGAGGGCGCGGCCGTCGCGAAGGGAATCTGGACGCCCGAAATGGGTACGGAAAGAATGGGTACAATGCCCAACAGCAGTTCCTGTTCATTTTGAACAGGATTCGCTGTCCACGCCGCCGCGGCTTGTGTCCGTTCGAGACAGAAGGCCGCCTGCCCAACAGCGGCCGCTGTTGGTTTGGGACAACATTTGTTGTTGGGCATTGTACCCATTTTTTCCGTACCCATTTCGGGCGTCCAGAGGGAAAGTTGCCCCCGATCTCCGAGTGGAGCCTCACGTCAGCTGCCATACCGTCGGTCCACTGCTCCCGCCAGGTGCCCTGCGCCAAGGGGGCACCAGGATGCGGCACGAGGGCCGCGCGCCTGCCTCAGAGGCACAGGACCTCCAGCCCCGACCCCGACGGGGTCACCAAGGCAGCGGCTTGAGCCCAGATAGCTACGGGGGGGGGGAGGCCGACGAGGAGAAGGACGACAGGGAGCACGGGTTGAGGGCGGTTCTGTCGCAAAGCGGGGTGATAGTTCGACACTTCCTTTGATTTTCTGATCCTACCTCGCCAGCTCCTTTTCAGGAGGAGGAGGAGCAGGAGGAGCAGGAGGAGGAGGAGGAGCAGGAGGAGGAGGAGGAGGGAGATGGGGAGGGACAGGAGTGACAGGCGGCAGGGCAAGGACGGGCGGGAGGGTCGGAAGCTGGGGGCGCGCTTCATCAATCGCATCTGCGCCTGCGGAGGGCGAGCTGTGCCGCCGGCTGCTGGCCAGCCTCCTCTGGGACGCACAGATACCTACTAATACCATATGCCCTCCTTGGAGGCGCGCGTCCGACCCGAACATATAGTATACCCACCTTGTAGTATATCGTTTCCCGAGCGGTGTGGCCAGACAGCGCCCGCCACGATGCATATACTACAAGATGTCTCTGTGCGCGCGTCGCCCCTGGGGGGGGGGCGACGCACGTATAGTATGAGTATGTTGGGGTGACGCATATCTTCCTCCACTCACAAGAACGAAAGTCAAAGTCCATAGCAAGGACGCAAGGTACAGATAAAGTCCCTTACCTTGCGTCCTTCTCTGGGAATGGCGAGGGATGCTGGGAGTGATTGGATGATACGGGAAACGACGACGACATAGGCGAAGATGGCTGAATAAATATTGCTACCTAGTGGAAGTCGGGAAAGCGGACCAGGCGAATTGGCCGCACAGCAGCCTGCTTGCCCACTGATTTCAAGCAAGCGTGAACTCATTCACCGCTTCTTGAAAAGCGTCACTGACGCGTCCACTAGACCGCCAGGAACATACGCGCCACGTGAGCCATATTCGAAGACCACGTCGTGGAACAGAGGAGTGGGGAAAACGAGAATAAACACGTGTGTCCCAACTGGCTTTTAAGGCTGACAACTTGCCGACACTGATTCAACGACTGGAACCACGCGCGCGCGCTTCGCGCGCGCTTAGTTTCTAGCAAGTTCTGGTTGTAGTCGAAAGTGTTCGGCGTCGGAGGACATAGTGTCACACGGATCGTTCCCAGCAAGGAGCTCCACCGACGGCCCCATATACAAGCTTGGCCATACGGCCCCCCAGCCCATGCTGGCATACCCCTCAAAGGATCGCGCCCCATAGACACCTCGACCTACGTCGTCAGAGACAAGGTTCGCATATTGGCACGCCCCTCACGCAGACCGTGCGCAGCAAGCCACTGCTGTTGCAGCACCAGAGGGAAGCTTCATAGTGTTGCCCCGCTTACCTCGGCACACCTCTCACAGGGATCGTAGCCCGCAGGGAGTTCCACGGGCGGTGCCAGAGGTGAGGTTCGCATACTGCCCCCCCGCCCGCTTCGGCATACCTCTCGCACGGATCGTAGCCCGCAAAGATCTCCACCGATCGCCCCAAAGACGAGATTCGCACTGCGCTCCCCCGCCTATTGCGGCACACCCCGCTTGGGCAAGGGCCAACCGTCCCGGCACTCCTGTAGGCCTAACACGAAATTTACTTTGAACCCGAAAATGTTCGAAGACCAAAAACAATGTTCTGAGAGCATGAAACCGATGTGCTAAAGCAGCACAGTCTCAGTCACAAACAGTATAAGAACATGCCGTGCAAACCACACAAGATTCTCAGAGCATTCTTTGGCGGGCCTATAGGCAAGCCAGGACGCTTCGCCACTGCTTGACCCATCACGCGGATCGTGCACACAAGGAGCACTGTCACAACCTAAAAGCCCAAAGACACGGTTGCACAGCGCCGTCCTCGCCCATGTTGGCACACCCGTTACGCGAATCATGCCCCAGATGGAACTTGACTACCTACAAGACCACCCCAACCCAACCCGAAGACCCGAATTTCGGGTTGGGGGGGGGTAAGGGTTCCACACGTGTTTTTCCCCATATCCTAAGGATTGGGGTTCTTGTTATTACTCTGACGCCTCCCACTCCTCCTCCTCCTTCTTCCTCCCGCTCGCGCCTCCCTCCTCCCAATGATAATCACCAGATAAGACAAGACAAGATAAGATACTACCAGATAAGATAAGATAGCACAAGATATGATAAAAAGATATTTCAATATAGTATAAGATAAGTTAAGCTCACACTCACACTCTCTCATGATCACAAAACGCTGCCAGGGGCTTCATTTGGGAGCCCCAAGGGGGAGCCACCCTGGCTGATCTCACGAGCCCG